ACAGCAGGGGTCTTGTTTGGAGTTTGGTGCAGTAGTTGAGACAGAGTGAATCTGATGTATCAAATGGCAGCACATACCCTGGCAGAGCGAAGAAGGTCATTGACCTTCTTCATGCAGTGCTGAGCATTCCTTCAGACATCTGAGAGACTGGTTTAACCCAGGTGGAAAACCCGGAGTGAGTTGGCATGGCCTGGTGTTGTGGCTTTCACTGCTGGTCCTGGGGGAAGAGGAAGTCCTGCTCTGCACCAGCCTTCCCTCTAATTATTTTTCTGGCTGTGGGGGCCTCTGAGGCCCATGCACATCAGAGACCTCTGGAATCTGAAGTCAGTGCCATGATCAGCGTGTTGACGGTGATCACCATGCACGAAACATCAGAGTAGCTGCACGTGTGCATAGCCATGCAGCTTAGGGTTAATGTTACTCTGTACCGTCCCATCCTGGAGGACCTTCCGGTCCTTGCCTGCAAAGCGGGATGCCAACTTCTCCTTGTCCGTCATATCTGGGACACAAGTCGAAAACCGTACAGGACAGAACCAGACTGAAAGGGTGTATCCGGGTGCAAATCAGGCTCTCACAGACAGCACTTGACAAAGGGATACTTGTGATTTCCAGGCTATCTGTTCACCAGCAAGTTGTAGCAGGAAAAGTGTGCACTCAAATGGGGCTGGAATCAGATTTGACAGATGCCATAAGTACATACAGTTAATGAGGCGAGTTTAGTAAGACATGGCAAAAAAAACTCTTTAGGTCTCAGGTGGGAATCTTAAGACCAAAAGATACAGGAGCAGAATTAGGTCATTCAGCCCATCGAGTCTTCGTCACCATTCGATCATGATTGATCATGTTTCTCAAGCCAATTCTGCTGCCTTCTTCCTGTAACCCATGATCCCCTTGCTAATCAAGAACCTATCTGTCTGAAATACACTTAATGACTTGGCCTCCAAAGCCCTCTGCGGCAATGAATTCCTCTGATTCAACACCCTCCAGCTGAAGAAATTCCTCCTCATCTCATTTCTAAAGGATGGTCCCTTCACTCTAAGGCTGTGCCCACAGGTCCTGGTCTCTCCTACTAGTGGAAACATCTTCTCCACACCCACTGTACCCAGGCTTCTGAGTGTTCTGTAAGTTTCAATCAGATTCCCCATCATCCTTCTAAATTCCATTGAGTACAGACCTAGAGTTTTCAACTGTTCCCTTCATCTTTTCAGGGGCAAAAAAAAATTAACCTAACTCAGACTCAGCCAATAAAATATAAGATTGAGCCCAGTGTTCTGTACAGTGCTGATATTCCATTCTTTTGAGTAGGGTTCCTCGTAAATTGAACAGGATTGAAAGACTAGTACTGAAAAACTACAATATGCTGAACTTTCAACTTGTCCAATAGATTTGCAATAGCTTCCAATCAGTGGTGAAAATTTGGAAAACATATGTGAATGAATGGAAATTGGTGGCGTCATGTATTAAAATAGGTTTCAATTGTTAGAATGTCAGTCACACTTATTAACAGTTGAATCAACAAACAATGACTAAGATCCTTAATTTGTAATCCAAATACTCATGGAATCAATTTTAGACCTCCAGTTTTATTACAAAATCACTTATCCATGATTCATTGCATGAAACGTTACTTTCCTGTCGACTGCTGAGTGCCCTTGCAGCACTGTAGTAGACCACATACCTCGAGGGTAGCTTGACTGCAACTGGTAATCTGATTGTAGTGCATGAGGACAGACATCTCTAACTGGCCCAAGGACACATGCAGTAGGACAAAGTCTTCAGAGTGACCTGCTGGTACTGCCATAAGAGACACTATGTTTGAAGCACACTTTCAACTGAAGTACAAAAGACAAATTCAGGGAATTCCAGTCATGATTTTGCTTTCATCTTCCTCCTAGGACTGAATGGCCTACTTCTTACTGAAAGGACTGAAATTAGATTCTGACCTGAACTGGTATAATTGAAGTTCCCTTTCTCTGTGAAAAGACCACAAATTTCCAGTTTTGACATATTTTACATATGCATAGTTTTTTTTAAATTGAAAAATTTGAAAAATTGCACAATGTTCTTTCTTTCCCCTTTGTAGATAACTGACCAATCTGAATTCTCACCCAGCTGGTAAGGCGACACAGTTCAGGATAGAAACTATACTATGACTATAATTAATGCTGGGTTGTGGCAGAAAAAGCAACTTGAGAAAAAGATGAGAATGGAACTGAGAATAATCTGAACCATTCAATGTGTTCCTTTTCCAAATGAGAATTCTGAGAAGTTTTTAAGGAGAAGTATTTTCCCAAACTTAATGAGACAAAGCCATAAAGAAATCTATCAAGGAACAAACTGCCAATTGAGTACCTTCAAGCTGATTGTGGATTAGAAATATATCACGTTTTCATCAAGAAGATTTTTAATGCAATTTTTACAGCACTTGCACAACTATTTTAAAGGTATTATGGAAAGATATGATAAACCTAAAATCATTTTACAAGTGGCAATACAATTATGTGGTTAATTGTTCATGTCCTCCATCCTTCCACAGTTTCCCTTCAGGCATACCCGTGGAGAACGTATGACTATTTTTTTGTTTAACTAAATTACAATGAACTGCTTAGCATATTCATTGGATTTTAAATGTGGATTCTTTTTCATTTTTTCTTTCTTTTAATATTTCATCTATTCCAGAGTTCTGAGGCAGCATCCTCTTAAGATGACTGTATATTTTTACTCATTCATCAGGCACCTCAATGGATTGAAGAGGGTAATTGAGAGCATGCAGCCAGTGGCAGCCTCTACATCATCAGACATGGCTCCAGCTGTTGCAGAGGCATCACAGAATCCTTTATCCAGAGAGTACAAATGGCAAACATCTCATGCTTCAGTTTTTAGAAGTCAACTGCCACCTGTCACCATAGGTGCTCCTCTCATTTTGAAAGCTTTGGTTCAGTTACGAAACCAGACAGACAATCAAACCAACATCAGCAAGGGGTGTTTGTGCGTAAGATTTATATAGTACTAATATCATAAATTTCACACAATAAACATTGTTGCTTTTTTATTACATGGTTAATATTTGTAAAGCCGACCAGTGAGAAAGGCATTGATATAGGATTCAAACATTTTTACTTCTCTCATTATGGTAAGTCCCACCAAACTGAACTGAGTTGACACATTATTTTAAGAAGGAAAATTCAAGAAAAAATAGAGGGATCATTACTAATTCTACACTTATCGATCAGAATTTAGTTAGCTTGTAAGGGCTTCATTTAGATATCTTACTCCTAGAGTTAATCATATCCCAGAATATATATAGCTCCAGCACAATTTTCAGAAAAGGAATGCCTGATACAGTGAAACAAAAGATAAAAATATTCCTTCAGATAAGAGGGAGAAAAATTGTCAGAAAGTTGAAATTATCATCAACCTGCTCTATTCTTAATTAAAATCCAAACCTTAACGAAACTAGCAAATCATTGCACTTGTAAGTTCATATCAGAAAATGACTTGGGTCCAGTCAGCCATTTGAAAATTATAACTCATCCAATTTAACTACTGCTCACTATATACTTTAGATGTAAAACTAATTAGACCATGTGAATTATTTTTCCACAGTATTGTTGAAATGATCATTCACATAATAACTCATAAATATTAAAAGATCTGTTGTAACTAACACAATATTTGACTGAACCATGCAACTACCCCATTAGTACAATATTATTGTATAATATTACAGTAATAGGCCAAATGATTAGATGGAATGAAAACAATTTTGTGGATGGAGTCATAATGGCAAAAGGTAGCCCAGAGATTTGGAAAAAAAATCAGAAGAAAATTGTGCTGAAATTATTCTGCAAGTCCCAGTGAATATTATTGAGCAATGACAATGCAACATAGTTCAAATTCAGATAAGTGTTGATTTTGTTTGACCAATAAAATCAATAGAACATCTCTCATCTTGAAATACTCAAAATTTGGAGTGTCTGTATTTTAAGAGGCTGATGCTGGAGTAAATTCAGTAGCAAATTCCAGCAGCCTTTGACCTAAATCTCCATAGTGACCATTGACTGCTTTTCTTTATGTTAGCTTTCATCCTTGTTATCCCTGCACACATTTCTCCCTCAAGGATTTCAACGGTACACATATTTTGACATTTTATTAAGAGTTGATTTTCATTTTAAAAGATATTTATTTGTGTTCAGTGAAAAAGTATTAATGTCCTGCAGCTGAACAGATTCCCTCCTTGGTTTTTGCTCATGGTTGCAAATAATAGGCTGATCTGAATGAACCAAAAATGGGGAAGTCTTATTTTAGTTCTGTTATTCTATTATACCAGTTTAAGATGATGAACATATCATCTCAAAAATATTCCATTCATGAATTAAAGAGAAGATCCGTGTTAGTTGTTGCTAGGAATTTACATTATTGGTCCAATCCTATACTTTTTTTCAATATGATAAACTAAATCGATTGAAGCTGATTAGAAACCAAAGCTCTAACCTAATGCTTGGCGGAAGGTCATTCACGTGGGCTGTGCAGTACGGACAATGTACAGGTTGAGACCTTCATACTTAAACTTTGTATCGGAAATTTACTGTTCTGACTTTTGCCAAAGGAATAACAGCAAAAAGCGGAACAAACAGTAAAACTCTAATCGTATCCGTACAAGAGAAGGAAGAGGGCGCAAAAATTCAACAAGAAGGCAGAAATGAAAAGAACCAAACAGGTTTAAGTCACTGCATGAATTGACTGGCAACTTGCAGCAACCCAGTATATCGACATTCCGATTACCAACAATGGCATCCTACAGTTCCAGTTCTTGTTGGAGCTCTGTCAAAATCTCTTCCTGTAACAACTTACATTACTCACAGTCTCCCAATAGGGAGTAATTACAGTCATAACCATTAAAACTGCTGCTTATCCATTTGCACAATGCTCCCTGTGAACTCTTATCATAGTTATGGCATTGATGAAAGTCAGGTAGTAAAAGTCGACTTTAGCCATACCTGTACTAACAAATCCTCCGATTAGGTTTCCGTAAACAGACTGATCCAGTTCTAAGTGCAGTTTCGCTCATTAAGGACGCCGACTGTTTAATGCTGAAGATTGTTTTCCAATAGTCTTTAGGTTCACATTCTTCAACTTGCCGTTGTACATTTAGCACTTTCTCATTCTCCCAATCTCCCAGCAATGTCTAAAATGGCTTACTAATACAATGGAAGTAGAAGCAGCTCAAATTTGCGGAAGAAGGAATGTACAAACACACCTACAGGAGACAGCTGAGTCGTGTGAGCGGCAAGGCAGATCTCTGAAACAGGATACCAGGAAGGGAGGGCTAGCTGGTCTCCTTGCCTGTGCACACAGCCTTGAAGCAGAAATATTCACATGCGGGTGCTGAAGGGACAACCGACCTTTAGGTAGCTGACAAAGAGATCACGCGCCTGCATAGTCCATAGCTTGGAGCTACTGACTGTATTTTCGAAGGCAGGTGCAATTATTCCCCACAACATCAGCTGGCAACCCACATAGACTTTTCTCAATGTGTGCTGTACTACTGAAGCATGCATTCAAATTAGCTCATGCCTTCAGGGCAAAGGTTGCTTCACAATGGCTGTCTCGCACACACATCTCAGTACAATTGCAGAGTGAAAGGCAGGCGAAAACAGATTATGGCACAGCACTACTTTCAATGGCCGGGACAGACTCCCATATAACAGATGAAATCAGGAGCTGTCCACAAAATGGTATCTGATCTCCTGGTCTAATAGCAGTTGTTATGAATAAATCAATATTTCAGTTGCTTTAACACCTTTGTATGCCAGACATACAGCAAACTGCTATCGCAAAGTGAAAAAAAAATGTGTGAATTGCGAGAATTATCCTGATTAATTTCGTGAAATCCAATGCATTTAATTATACTATTTCCTTGTAAAGCATTTGGGAATTTTATTCAAAGTAGACAGGAATATATCGGAGTGTTCACTCAGAGCAAATGACCTACATAAAGATCTGTAAGTAAATCTCATGTGCCTATTTGATTAAAGTTTAACGCTGCCATTTCCTCTCCCGGCAGACATCTGCACATGCTCAGATCTCAGTACGAGAAACAAGCAGATGAGTCATTCATTGAGCTCTAAACCATAAAACAATTGCTTCAGATGATCAGTACCTTTGCGGGTCTGTATAAAAAGAAGCTATCTTTATGATTATGACAACAGTCATAAAACTAATCAAATATTGATTAATATTTTGCAAATTATATCGACACAATATTAACTGCACTGGAAGTTATAAGTAAACAAAAACACATTTCTCATATTCTCAAAAACACATTCTCTCACTTTTTCCCGATCAATTTATGTTAATAGGGAAGAAAACTTGAGACACACAATCCGCACCGACTTCAATCTCAAGCCACTTACAAAAATGAAAACCGAAAACAGCAATTTCCACATGCCGACTCCAGATACGAACTACCAATTTAAATAGTCGTTAGATCAATGTGTTATTGTGGACTGCTGGCATTTTCTTGCAGATCAAGGATAAATTGTGTTTTGTGGTACTATATAACCTAAATCTGATTGGCAGGAATTTTAATTACAGACATCAATAACGAAAGGATATATTAAAGAAAACATAGGATTGTAGATACTGGAAAACTGAAGCCAAACACAAAGTGCTCGAAAACAGCACATCAGTCAGCATTGGTGGGACGAACGAGTAAATCAGAAAAGAATACATAGACGAAACTTCAACTTCGCTGATCTCTCCCTAGAAGCAATGCAAAAGTTGAAACTGCTTTAAATAGGAGTTTTATAAATTGCTGGCATCTTCCTTCGAGATTTTGAATGTCGTCTTTCGAACTGTACTCAGGTTTCGCTTTCTCTGGCAAAATACAGTTCAGGGGAAATTACCTTTAATTATTCTTGAAGCTTTATTTTAACTATGTGCTATTAAAAACATAAGATTTGGGCAACGAAGATATACTTAGAAGGGGGACATGTAAAAACTTTGAATTGTAAATCGAGCATGAAGCTCCCTATGAAAATTATCAATATTAATAGGATTAAGATAGCAGTTCTCTTCCCAACTGGACACTTGAGGTATTTTACAAGAAAAATTCAATAAGTGTAACTATTGCACAATATGCTCAGTCATCAGCTTTCAATCGTCAGCTATAAGATGCTTGGATCTGTCAAGACCTACAGATGTTTACTAGTTATAGTTACTATAATTCTATTACCAAGTGACAAATTAAGTAGTAGCTTTTTTCATAATTGGTTCTAAAATATTGCAAGATTATTTTATATTTGGCACTGCAAAATCAATTTTATAAAGTATAATCCTTGATCTGAAATGTTATGCAATGCTGTAAAAGTTCATTGGCATGCATAACAATAAATCTAAATGTTTTATACAAATCTCGTATTGCTAATGCATGATATTAAGTACCTGACCTTTAATAACATGCTAACTAGCTTGAATAAAATGCCATGGTTAGATGTGTAGTTATGTCATCAGTGTTATTTGTCAAATTATTTACATGACATATTTCATATCTTAAGAATCAATATATTTAAGATGCTAATACTTATTGAATAGCATTAACTGTTGTTATTTATGTGCAGACTTTAGTGCTGTAAAGTCATATTTTAAAATTAATATTTCAAAGGAATATTACAATATCAATATAGTGCCACTTTGTATTTTCAGTTCCATTCATTTCTACTGAGTGGAAAGTGGAATGATCGTGTTGCTTTTTCACTTCTGTCAGCACTTTGAAAAATCACTTATTACTGGTGATTCTTTTTTTGTGTTTAATGGTATGCTTGTTGTACAATTATGACATGAACTCATGAATCCTACTACAATCATAACCTAGCCCATGTTTATTCAAATTTACTGACCTGTTTGACTTTAGTAAGACATTCACAAGGTTCCTCATGGTCGACTGGTTAGCAAGGTTAGATCACATGGAATACAGGGAGAACTAGCCATTTGGATACAGAACTGGCTCAAATGCAGAAGTGAGAGGGTAATGGTGGAGGGTTGCTTTTCAGATTGGAGGCCTGTGACCAGCAATGTGCCACAAAGATCAGTGCTGGGCCCACTGCTTTTCATCATTTATGTAAATTATTTGGAGGTGAACATTGGAGGTATGGTTAGTAAGTTTGCAGATGAGACCAAAAATGGAGGCGTAGTGGACAGCGAGGAAGGTTACCTCAGAGTACAATGGGATCTTGATCAGATGGGCCAATGGGCCGAGGAGTGGCAGATGGAGTTTAATTTAGATAAATGTGAGGTGCTGCATTTTGGAAAAGCAAATCAGGGCAGGATTTATTCACTTAATGGTAAGGTCCTGGGGAGTGTTGCTGAACAAAAAGACCTTGGAGTGCAGGTTCATAGTTCCTTGAAAGTAGAGTCGCAGGTAGATAGGATAGTGAAAAAGGCGTTTGGTATGCTTGCCTGCGTTGATCAGTGCATTGAGTATAGGAGTTGGGAGATCATGTTGCAGCTGTAAAGGACATTGGTTAGGCCGCTTTTGGAATACTGAGTGCAATTCTGGTCTCCCTGCTATAGGAAAGGTGTTGTGAAACTTGAAAGGGCCCAGAAAATATTTACAAAGATGTTGCCAGGTTTGGAGGGCTTGAGCTATAGGGAGAGGTTGAATAGGCTGGGGCTATTTTCCCTGGCGCATTGGAGGCTGAGGGGTGACCTTATAGAGGTTTATCAAATCATGAGGGGCATGGAGGGGGTAAATAGACAAAGCCTTTTCCCCGGGGTGGGGGAGTCAAAAACTAGAGAGCATAGGTTTAAGGTGAGAGGGAAAAGATTTAAGAGGGATCTAAGGGGCAACTTTTTCACACAAAGAATGGTGCATGTAATGGAATGAACTGCAAGAGGAAGTGGTGGAGGCTGGTACAATTACAACATTTAAAAGGCATCTGGATGGGTATATTGAATAGGAAGGGTTTAGAGGGATATGGGCCAAGTGCAGGCAAATGGGACTATATTTATTTAGGATATCTGGTCAGCATGGATGAGTTGGACTGAAGAGTTTCTTTCTGTGCTGTACAGCTCCAGGATTCTACGTTTTAAAAAAGGGCTGAAAGGAAAACCTAAGATTTTGCTTGGACACATTTAGCCAGCAGGGAACTGAAAATCTATCCCTCTAGATCAGATTAGTACAATTTGACAGTACAACATTTCTCTTTTTAAAGAACTCATCTGAATTCTTTCAATTATCTTTCCACAGAAAATAATCTCAATTTAACTACTAATTAAACTTACCAACAAAGCAACTGTTAGCTGTACAAAGAGGTGAATGTATCAGCACAATATGAAAAAGATGGGAGGGAGACATTGCTTACAGGGGAAAATGGATAAATAACAAAACCATAGGAAACAGAGCTAAGGAGTAAGCAGGATTGTGGAATTAATTTTGGGTTCTTAATTGTGAAGTGCTAGTACAGACATGATGGGCATAATATTCCCCTTTTGCCCTATACTGTATTTGATATTGCTTTGTAACCAACTTAATCTCTATTTGCCACCATTTCCAAGACGCAATAAAAATGTGAATAGATAATGTGTCTATTAAGAATATATCTCCTATATTTCCAAACAAAATCATTGAACTGTTTCTACAGAAATTCATCTTTCATTTTTTGAAGAAAGGGGTTATGGAACAGTTGGTGCTTTGTTGCTTGTTGGCATTTCTCCATAATGTTGGGGCTGAAGCAGACTTACTCTGCACTTCCCTGTCTGTTCACTCCCAGCCTAGGAGTTCCAATTTTTTAAATCAACCATTTAGCTGCCAGCATGAGTGACATATAACCAAACGTTGAGTTTGCAAAATACTTTGAAACATAAAACATTCAATTTAATTGAAAACTCAAGAACACTGTCTTAAAACATGAACCAAGTGAGTTAAATGTTAAAACACAAATAAACCTTGAATGATGGCGGGAGATATGTATGGAATACACACCTTATTGATGCAGAATTGATGAAGGTGTTTGATAGGAACATGAATAGTCAGGAAGCAAAGTTATTTAGGGGTGTGAAGAAGGGATTAAAGATAGAGCTGCTATGGCTAACAAAATGTGGGTCCAAATAACTTTCTGTTATCTTTTCTGACTTACTCCTAAAGTATTTAATGTTAGTACTCTTTATA